CACACACACACACACACACACACACACACACACACACACACACACACACACACACACACACACACACACACACACACACACAGATTGTCACTGTTTCAGGAGCTGCCTGACTAATGCTTTCATCTCATTTTAGTGTTTTCAGATGAGGAGCTCTGAGATATTAATTTCGAAAATTATGGCATGGAGATTCTTGCACAGATTTTATTTTAATTTCTATTTTGTTTTGTTTTAACAAACTGACAGATTTCTTCCCTAAACAATTGTTTAATTTAAAGGGATTATATTTACAGGATTTTAGCTCATGTAGTCATTTAATATTATTTATTATTCATATTTACTAAATTACATTTATCTCATGTCGGAGCTGTGCTGCGGGTAGAGATGAGGTCCAGCTGCCTCTGAGCCTCTGCTTCGTAAATGACGGTCTATTGATCTCTCACGGTTTTGTTGTGCGCATGAACACACGGTGTTACGGTGGACATACTGTATTGCGAGGTGCTTTCAGAAATATAATCTAATCCTCGGTGGAAAATAGTCCAGGAAACACTGGCAGTGTTCCTGGGAGCGAGCACCTGCCCTGAAGGCTCGGCTTGGTTATAGTCGAGCTTTGGATACTCAGGCAGGGCACGCGCACCATTGCCAGAGTTGGAGGTGTTTATATTGTTGTAGTTTTCTTGAAAAAGGACATGTGGCAGTACACTTTGTAACTTATGAAATGTAGGATAGCAAATAAACAAATAGGAGAGCAAGAGGTGGGGAAAGAACTTTGTGAACCACTGGCCTAAAAGCCCCTCAAACCCCTTACTTGCTGGGGTATTCAGATACATCGTTTCCCCTTTTCTTTCTGAAATAAAAGGGTGTCCTGTGACTTCTGACTCACTCATACAACTCTTAAAGTGATCCCCGACTAGTTGTAACATTAGACTTTATTTGATAAACATTTATTTTAACTGTAAAATAAAGACAGTAAAAATACGGTAGGCTGTTTAGTTTTGTAAATTTTTAAACTAAAAGTTTAAAAATATATTACACGGACGGGGCCATTTTATTTACATGCAAACATTCTGGGTAAATGATGACGTAGGTCATCGGTGCGAGTCTGCTAGTGAGCTACATGTATATGCGAGCTCTATATGCTTCATGGAAGAAAAACCCCAGCTTAGACTGTTAGCTTTAGAGTTAGCCCCGACGCTATCACCATATACAGTATATGTATTAGCTCAGCACTACACATTCTCCTCTCGTCACTGAGGTCCTCCATCCGCATGACAGAGAGGGGAACAGAAAAATGACTCAGTCTGCAAATGAAAATATGGGTGGAGGACCTCAGTTTAGCTTGTTAGTTTGTCGCGCTAGCACGGAGTTAATATATATATAAGGCAATATATCATCGGCGCTAGCGCAAAGGCTAACAGGCTAAGCTGAGGTTCTTCTTCCATGAAGCATATATAGCTCGCATATACTGTGCATGTAGCTCACTAGCAGACTCGTACTGATGACCTACATCATCATTTACCCAGAATG